GGTTTTTAGTGATCATAAAAGTCTTAAATACTTGTTTGATCAAAAAGAGTTAAATATGAGACAGAGAAGATGGATGAAATTTTTGAAAGATTATGATTTTGAATTACATTACCATCCAGGAAAGACAAATGTAGTAGCAGACGCTTTAAGTAGAAAATCTTTACATGTCTCTTCCCTTATGATACATGAGATGAGTCTGCTAGAAGAGTTCAGAAACATGAATTTATCAATTACCATAAATCCTGATAGAATAAAATTAAACTTAACTCAGATTATTAGTGGATTACAAAGACAAATTCAAGAGACACAAGTAGTTGATGAATTTATTCAAAAGAAAAAGAAGTTGATAGGACAAAAGAATGGAGAAAATTTTGGCATAGATAAAGAAGGAATTTTGAGATTTAGTGGTAGAGTATGTGTGCCTAATAATGTAGAGATTAGAAAGCTGATTTTAGATGAAGCACATAAGAGTAAATTGAGCATACATCCAGACACAACAAAAATGTATCAAGATCTTAGGAAAATATTTTGGTGGCCTAAAATGAAGAAGCAAGTAGCACAATATGTAGCATCGTGCTTAGTTTGTCAAAAATCTAAGATAGAACATCAAAGGCCTGCAGGGATGTTACAATCTTTAGACATACCTGAGTGGAAATGGGATAGTATTGCAATGGACTTTATAGTTGGTTTACCACGAACAATTCAAAAATTTGATTCCATATGGGTTATCGTGGATAGGTGGACAAAGTCTGCTCATTTTCTACCCATTAACATGAGGTATTCATTGGAGAAACTGACTGAATTGTACATAAAAGAAATTGTGAGGTTACATGGAGTTCCATCTAGTATTATTTCTGACCGGGATCCTAGGTTTACTTCTAAATTTTGGGGAAGCCTACATCAAGCCTTAGGAACTAAGCTTCATCTTAGCTCGACTTATCATCCTCAAACTGATGGACAATCGAAAGAACCATTCAGATCCTTGGAAGATTTGTTGAGAGCATGTGTGTTAGAAGATTCTGGTAGCTGGGATCGATACTTATCATTAATTGAATTTACTTATAACAATAGTTTCCATTCTAGCATAGGTATGACACCCTATGAGGCATTGTATGGGAGAAAATGTAGGACACCTTTATGTTGGTTTGAGACTGGAGAAAATTTAATCTTAGGTCCTGACATGATTAAACAAATCACGGAGAAAATTAAGATGATTAGAGAAAAATTAAGAACAACTCAAAGTCGACAGAAAAGTTATGCTGACAAGAGAAGACGACCCCTTGAATTCCAAGAAGGTGAACATGTATTCTTGAAAGTAACATCGACAACTGGAGTTGGTAAAGTAATGAAAGCCAAGAAACTCACACCTCGATTTATTGGTCCCTATCAAATTCTTAGAAAAATAGGTCCTGTTGCTTATCAAATTTCCTTACCCCTTTTCTTTCTAATCTTCATAATGTGTTTCATGTGTCTCAATTAAGAAAATACATTTCTGACCCTTCTCATGTAATAATGCCAGATACAGTACAATTAAAGAATAACCTTACATTTGAAATAATGCCTGTACAGATTACAGATATGAAGATCAAGCAACTGAGGGGAAGACAAATCTCACTAGTGAAGGTTGTTTGGAATGAAAGTACTGGAGACGCTACATGGGAATTAGAAAAGAAAATCAGGGAAAGTTACCCCTATTTATTTTAGTCGCTAAAAATTTCGAGGACGAAATTTCTGTAAGTATGGGAGAAATGTAACATCTCAATTAATGTAAAAGATAAACGTTATCTTATCTTAAAAGATAAACATTATCAAAATCATAATTACTGCATTTATGATTACGTAATTAAATAAATAAAAAGAAAAAAAATTTGTTATAAAAAGGGTAGGGGAAGGATCCAGGAGGGAGAAAGAGAAAGGGGAGAGAGAAAGAAGGATGAGAGAGAAAGAAGAAAAGAGAGAAAGAAGAAGAGAGAAAGGAAGAGAGAGAAAGAAGAGGGAGAGAAAGGAAGAGAGAGAAAGAAGAAAAGAGAGAAAGAAGAAGAGAGAGAGGAAGAGAGAGAAAAAAAGGAGAGAGAGAAAGGAAGAGAGAGGGAAGAAGAGAAAGAAGAAAAAAAAATTGTCTCTACAAAAATTTTGGTACCTCATCCGTAGCTCTTAAGGTAGGGGAGGAGAATATTATTATTAAATTTATTTTATTTTGCTTATAGTTGTGGAGTGAAGTGTCCCTAACCTCATTCTATTTATTTAGTTATTTGTTTATTTATCTCTAACTACGTATGACCCTATCTTATGTTTGTTTATTTTATCTCCAGTCCTGCACTGGTCCTACTTTAATTATCTCCAGTTATGTATTGGTCCTGTTTGTTTATTTTATTTTATCTCTAGTCTTGCACTCGGTCCTATTTTAATTATCTCCAGTTATGTACTTGGTCCTGTTTGTTCATTTTATTTTATCTCCGAGTCTTGCACTAGTCCTATTTTAATTATCTCCAGTTATGTACTGGTCTTGTTTGTTCGTTTTATTTTATCTTCAGTCTTGCACTGGTCTTATTTTAATTATCTCCAGTTACGTACTGGTCTTGTTTGTTTACTTTATTTTATCTCTAGTAATGCAACGATCTTATTTATTAATCTATAGTTATATTATTCAATTACAATAATATCTATTTGTGAAGATTTGATGATATTGTAGATGAAGGTTGGACCTTGGGGATTTAAATGAGTAAATATCACTGTGAGAGTGATTAAAATTGAACTCGTTTATCCTGACTAGTCACTACAAATTTAATTTAAATCTTCATAAAATAGAATGTGTTGAGGAAGTTGAAACATATATATCTATATATTATAAGATTGTATTATTGTAATTGATAAATGTTCTCACTCCCTATTGTGATCTTTTGTGCATGTTTTATTTAAAAATCAACTTAAGTAGATGGAGACGCCAAATATTCCAAATCCCTTTCTGCAAGCATCACTGTCTTCTTTCCCGGAACTACTTGGAACACAAATGTTATAGACAATTCGGTTACTTTTAGAGGGATAGGATTTTCAATAATAACATTTGTATCCGATATGGGAAATCCCATTATGTTAGATGGGCCAAGTAGTGGTTACCTTTTGTATGCCTCCTACCTTTTTCCAAAACCCCTTAATTAGTTTCCACCGACAATGTAAATACTTGTAAAATCGTATAAAAAAATAGAAGGAATCAAAAATAAAATTTCTTCTTCTATTGTATATCTTTTACATATATATATATATATATATATAATATTTTTTTGACCTCCTACTCTTATATAAATAATAATAATAATAAAAAAATAAACGTCACAACAAACACCTATTTAAAAGAAAAAAAATAACTCGCACGTGTTATTCTTTTCTACGTTATTAAGAAAGTCTCATTAAATATGTAAATTAAAATATTATTTCTTATCCCAAAAGATTTTTTCGTATTAAAATATAATCATTGTCAAATATAAGATGTATGATCTGTCAGACACGAGAGAAACGTAAAATAATAAAATAGGGTCAGAAAAAAAGTATTAAAGATGAGTATACAGAAGGTAATTAATTATGACGAAACTTATGTTAATGTAAAAAAAAATTCGAGAATAAAAAATCATTAAAACAAATTATACTAACATTTTTTTTAAATAACAAGAATCATGCATTATATATATATTTTTTTTAAAAAATTCATGCATCAAAACATCACGCATTATGAAGACAGCTTATGTTCTTTTATATATTTTTTTAAATTTTAATTATGTTTTTATTCTTACATTAATTTTATTCAATTTTATTTTACTATTAATAAAAATTTCAATAAATCTTTTTATGTTTAAAAACACAAAATCACTTTTCATTCAATTAATAGTAAATATAGTTAATATACGCACGATACAATTTATAACGAATATATAATGATTATTTATAAATTAATAATCAATTTCAATCCAATAAAGTGTTATATTATTATATTTCTATAAAATTGAGAAATTTAATAAATTAATAAATTTATAACATAGTTTAAGTTTTAGGTGAATATCAAGATAAATTTAATAAAAATGATATCCTCTATGGAATTTCTAGTATTTGTTTTTCAATATATTATATATAGACATGGCTACACTCCATCATTTCCATGTTAATTTATTGATAATTGAGTACAACTTAAATCATCATTTTCACTAAAAACTCATCTTTGCATATAACAACATGGTGAGTAATTGCAAATTGCTATACATCTTATCTTCCTCCATAGTATTTGAATACTTAGACATTATTTTTTTTACTTCCACAAAAATAATATTTGGTTTCTGTAATTAGAAAACAAACACACACCACACACAAACACTTGTGGGGTAGATGTTTGTTGTGATTTTAATGTGGTATTGACTTTTTGGGATACATATATATGTTGTTGAGATTAATATAAATTTTAAATACTCAACAACAAAACATGTAAAAAAAAAAGTAAGCATTACATTCATAACTACAAATAGTGCTTTGGTAGTTGACACAATGTGTAGTAGACACGTTAAACTATTCAAAACCAGTTATTTATTTTTTATTTTTTATAAGCAATTCTTTGCTTTGTCAAAAATGTCATGCTAGCTAGCTAGCTAGCTCACAAAGGTTTTATACCTAATAAATGTGGAAAATATTTTATTAACAAATTAGGATTTAAAAGTTGAAAGAAACTCACTCATTCACACAAGGCCTTTGGTTTAAAATGAGCAAGTTACGGTTGAGGATAAGATTGCAAAGCAACAGTAAGAAGTTTCGTATGAACACATACATATTTTGAAATAATTGGTATAGTACTATGTCACGTTAAAAAAAACTTGCACGTTTATGTTTCAATTTTATACTCTCAAATTGGTCAAGAGAGGAATATACCTCTTACATTCGCTATATATGACAACCAATAAACCACAGTTAAGCTGCATCAAATATTACTCAGTCCCCTTTTGTCCTGGAAACACTCAACAATGGGGAACTCCTCTTCAAATAAGAAAGAAACTCTTCCCATCGACACCACTTTTAAGCTTCCAGCAAATATACCAGTTTGGCCGCAGGGTGCACCTTTTTCCCTCTCCTTTCTGATACAATTGTCTTATTTACTACTTCTGTTGATTATATATATGTTTAAGTTCCTTAATGGCTTCTGATTTGCAACTTTACATGTAGGAGGTGGATTTGCTACTGGAACTGTAATTATAGAAGGACTTAAATTGTTTCAGATTTCAACATTCAACAAGGTTTGGACAACCTTAGAAGGTGGACCTGGTAATGCAGGAGCTACTTTCTTTGAGCCTGCAGGAATACCTGAGGGGTTCTTCTCCTTAGGCCACTATAGCCAACCCAACAACAAGCCTCTCTTTGGATCAGTTCTGGTGGCAAAAGATGAGTCATCTTCAAGTGAAAATGGAGCTTTGAAGAAACCAGTTGATTACTCACTTGTGTGGAGCAGCAAGTCCCAAAAGATCAAGCAAGACAAGGATGGTTATGTTTGGCTACCAACGCCACCTGATGGCTATAAGGCATTAGGCCATGTTGTCACCCCCACACCAGAGAAGCCTTCACTTGACAAAATCAGGTGTGTGAGGTCAGATCTCACAGACCAGTGTGAGACAAACTCATGGATTTGGGGACCAGACAAGAGCACTGATGAGAAAGGTTTTAATGTTCATGAAGTAAGGCCAAGCAATAGAGGCATTCAAGCTCCTGGTGTTCTTGTTGGGACATTTTTTGCCCATAATGGTGAAACTCCTTCCCCTCTCCCTATTGCTTGTTTGAAGAACACCAACATGAATTTCTCCTCCATGCCCGATTTACCCCAAATTAAGGCACTAGTCCAAGCCTACTCTCCATTTATGTACTTGCATTCTAAAGAAAAGTTCCAACCTGCTTCTGCTAAGTGGTATTTCACCAATGGGGCATTGCTTTTCAAGAAAGGGGAAGAGTCCAAACCTGTGTCAATAGATCCAACAGGCTCTAACCTTCCTCAGGGTGGCAACAATGATGGTGAGTATTGGTTGGACCTCCCTACAGACAAAGCCAACATGGAGAGGGTCAAGAAAGGGGATTTCAAGAGTAGCCAAGCCTATGTCCATGCAAAACCCATGTTTGGAGGAACATTCACTGACCTTGCCATGTGGGTTTTCTACCCATTCAATGGGCCTGGAACAGCCAAAGTTGGGCTCATAGACATTCCCCTTGGGGTTATAGGAGAACATGTGGGGGACTGGGAGCATGTCACACTTAGAGTAAGCAATTTCAATGGAGAACTAAAAAAGGTGTATCTCTCACAACATAGCAATGGTCAATGGGTTGAGGCCCCTCAGCTTGAGTTCCAAAGTGGAAACAAACCAGTGACTTATTCCTCCTTGAATGGCCATGCCATTTATCCAAAAGCAGGTCTTGTCATGCAAGGCCTTGATGGAATTGGAATAAAGAATGAAACTGAAAAGGGTGAGAAGGCGATTGACATGGGGGTAGACTTTGAAATTGTTGCTGGTGAGTATTTGGGGTCAGCAATTGTTGAACCACCTTGGCTGAACTATTTCAGGCAATGGGGTCCAAAAGTTTCCTATGACATTGCAAAGGAGTTAGACAAATTGGAGAAGGTATTCCCTGCATTGGAAGCTCTGAAAGAGATTTTGCCAAATGAGTTGTTGGGAGAGGAAGGACCCACAGGACCTAAGCTCAAGAGAAATTGGAGTGGTGATGAAGTTTGACTTGAAGGTAAGCCTAGTTGGTGGCATTATTGAGACCATGGAATAAAAAAGGAGGCTTTAATTTGTTTGGTTGCTTCTGTATGTATTGTATTTTAGTGTTCACGAACACCTATTATACTTAATGACTACCGACCACAAAGATTATCCTTGTTTGTATCTGCATGCCAGCTTTTCAGTTGTTCCCACAACATTAAAACCCATGTGATATTTTTCTTCAAATTATAGGTAGATTGAGGACAGAAAGAAAAAAAAACAATGGAAAACATTTTTGTGTCCACTTGGCTAAAATCAACGATGAATATGAGCAGTGAGGGAATCAGAAAATCTAAATTGATCATAATACTTGTACATAAAAATTTGTAAGTGATACTTATATAATATATTAATTGTTTTAATTATGTTTTAAATTATAAGTAATAAGTTTAGGTTTAATTATGTTTTTTTAAGTCTCGTATTACCTGTTTAAGTATGATTGGTTACTTTACCTATTTTTAATTGATTTTATGTTAAAAACTAACATGATTTAAAGTCAAAACCGATTATATTTTTTATCAAAATTTGTTTTTAAAATTCCTTTGAATGGTACATTTTTTCGGTCCCTTAACCTTAAAAATCTATTTTTTTTAATTTGGGAACAAAAATCAAAATCATTTTAAATTTCAAGAAATAAAAACATAATGAAAATAAAAATGAACAATGTGTGAAGATAAGGTAAGTAATGAGGTAGAAGATATTTCTATGGAAGGAGTTATGTTTGCAAAGTCAACGAACAAATATGCAGACTATTCTTGCTCTTTCATATATTTTTGTAAAAATGAAAAGTTAAGTACTGATATAAACTAAAACCGACAATAGTTTCTAAATCATATCGATTATAAAGATAATAATATTATAGAATAATTTTTAAAATTTTTAAGAGTTTTAATTTATTTATTTTTATAAAAAGTTGACATCTAGACTAAAGTTTTAATTTATTATTTATTATGTAAATTGAAATAATGATCATATTTATGTCTGAATTAGTCTTGATTAAAAAAGGTTTAAATAGATTTTGATTTTTATAAATTCACAAAATTTGATTTTAGTTTTAATATAATGACATGGTGTTGCTACAACTGATCCAAGGATCAATGAAAAATATTCAAATTATAATTTTTGGATGCCTCTTATTAATTAATTTATTGAAAATATAAGTGTCTTTTTTATGACAAATAATCGGATCATGAATTTTTTTAACACATTTCTCTATATAAACATTTTAAAAAGAGATAAATGAAAATAATACTAAATTAACTTTTTAGAAGTTAGATTTAATATATTAACAATAAAATAAGAAATTACGAAATTATGTATGATATTTTTATTAGAAATTAGTTTTATGAATAAATAAAGTTTGATTTATGAAGATTATTTTATTTTATCTTCTGAAAAAAGTGTTAGGAATTATGTAAATTTGTTCAGCTTTATAAATCGGTGAATATTATATACTTTTCAATTTATCATTTACTATAATCAAAAGGAACAATGTGTCCCATAACATGAATAATACTGATAGGTGAAAATCATAAGTGTGTTATTGTAATTATTATAATTTAATATTAAATTTATAATGGTTATGTATATATCTTTGCAATTCTTTGTAATTTAATAAAATAATAAAAACTAAGTACTATTTGTAAAATAAGAATAAAAAGAAAAACATAAAGAATTAAAACAAGAATGTAATATATTTAAAATAAAAATAACTTGTAAGTAACTTTGCCAATAACTTGTGAAATAGAAAATCACTCTTCAACATGGATAATTACTTGATTTAAGCGTTGTTTCTTATCTTAACATTTCAAGCATCTCATATATTATTTAAGTAAATTCACTTTCGTTATAAATGAATGACAATAATACCAATCTAGTCTCTCTAACCATGGTTTGCATTAAGTGAGTCTAAGGGTCTCTAAGCGAAAATCTTTGATAAATTTTAATCTGTCATAAAATATACACAGCATTAATGATAAAAATTTGAATTTATGATAATATCTACGAAAAATGGTTGGTAATAACCTTTTTCTTAAAAAACATGTGATTGCCACTAAATTTATTGCAAATATTCACATTTTTAAGTTCATCATAAAATTTATATATTTATTATAAAACTTGTCTGTCATGTCATTGTGATGGAATACTAACTAACAATATATATATATATATATATATATATATATATATATATATATATATATATATATACTATAGTGACAATATATTTAATATGAAAATAAATATAATTAAGAATATGAATAGATAATTTATCATGTATTTAATGTTTATATTTGATATTATAGCATTGTTAAGATGTATTTATCATGTGTTTTTAAATTTTAATTCATTATAATTTTATTAATATCTTAATTAATTTAAAGACGAAAATATATATATAAAATATTATTGATCATAATTTCTAATTAATGTTGGACTGGTGAACATATCAAAATACTTTCTAATCAAATAAATTTTTGTTTTTAAAACATTGAAACATGCTTCTCTTATAACTTTTTTACCGAATTCATAGTCTTGTAAAGTTTTAATATATTATAAAAATGAATTTATCTAGATGTATAAGTATAACAAGCCATCTTAACTATATCTAGATGTGGATATGGATCATAGCTCATTGAATATGAGTTTTATGAATTTAAATGTTCAATTTACCTTATAAATCACATTGGAATTACGTATATTATATAATTTAAATAGGTTATTTTTCCCTATATCTCTATAATTTCTTTTTACACCCTCATAATTAATATAAATTTTATTTTACTCTTGTATCTATCTTTTTCTTAGATTGACAGTTCCGAAAATATATTTTAGATTGGTTGTTTTTGAAATACAATATAGATTGGTAGTTATAAAACTCATTTTTAGAACAATTAATCTAAAATGCATTTTTAGAACACACCGTCTAAAACTAAGTTTTGAAATAACTAATTCGAAATGTATTTCTGAATTAGGTATTAAGTTTGAAAAATACTTTTCGGATTGAATGATTCGGATTTCAATGTACACTTATAGTTTTTATGAATATTGGAATGAGTATTATGTAATAAGTATACAAAATTAAAAAATTTAAATCTTATGAATTAAAAACGATAAGGAGAAGTTATGGAGGGACAGAGGAGGAGTGTAAAAGTAAAGAAGCTTGTTAGGGTTTTAAAAACAAATTAGTAAAAGGATATTTTGATTATTTTAAATGGTTATGGGGGTAGTGATTCAGACAAAAATTATGGAAATACAGGAGAAGGAGCTTTTAAATATGATGGATTCCTTCATCACTCAGCGTATATAGAATTTGTCCTAGATTCTTTAAATCATTTTGGTGGAAAACATCGTCTATAAAAATATCACTTAATAAGTATATAAGAGATAAAGAAAATATTCTATTAATTAAAATAATAACAGTAAAAATAATGTAAGAACAGTGAATGGGTTCATTTGTAGCAATTTGAGGTTCAGTTTCTGTCGGCTACACCGGCATATTTGTGGTTGATCGTGAAGGTTTGGAATGAAAATGATTGGAAACAGTGAGACCGTTGGGTTTAGTAGTAGGTTGGTTAAAAAGAAGCTAAAAAGGTTTGTGTTTATTGAAGAGTTGTTGTTTGTTGAAGATAATAAAGTAAACAACTGAGTTTGTGTTTGTAAAAGGCAATGAAAAATAGAGTGTAAACAAATTAATTAGGATAAAAAAAATAAGATTATTATATATATATATATATATATATATATATATATATATATATATTAAAAAATATATTAACATCCAAGTTTTAAAATAGAGATAAAAAATAAAATTTATACACTAGTGGAAAAATAGCATTCTATGACGAGTTTTTATCACGGTCGTAGTCCACCCGTCATAGTATGTAGCGCGGTGACAATTTTGTAATAAAATCATAAACTTTCTATGTCGGGTAAATTTTAACCGACATAGAAAGTGTATTTGATGACGGGTGTTAGGGCAACCGACATAGTATCTTCTGTTTTACCCTGCTGCAACGCTCCATTTCATCACTTCACCCATAGCAGAGCTCCCCTTTCTCTCTGTCTCTTCTACGAACGTCATCGCCTGTGTACGTTTCTCCCCACCCAGCTTTGCTCGTCACGCCACCTGCCAACTCTGTACGTCGTGCCGCCTGCTGCTACTGTCGTTGGTGCCCGTCGCCTGTGTACGTTTCTCCCCACCCAGCTCTGCACGTCACGCCACCTGCCACCTCTGTAGGTCTTCAAGAGGTAAGTTTTCGTGCTTGCTTTAGCCATTGTAGGTTTACAGTTTTGAATCTGGTAAGTAATAATGCTGTCAAGAGAGGGAAAGATCACGGGTGCCTTTAGCTAATTTAGAGATGTATTGTAAGTAGTTTAGTCATTTGAATGTGTTTCTGTAGGCATTCTTTCGTGATTTTGATTTTGAAAATTAGATTTGTATTATAATGTAGTTATTTCATTTTAAGTGAAAACTATCATCGCTTATGCTCACCCTAATGTGAGACAATACGGTTAGCCTTGATTGAAGTCAGTCATGAAATGATCCATTGTAGGACAGAACTTCCTATTGAAATATTAAAATATCCAATCACGTGACATCGCAATTTCAGCAGAACATGTTGGATGTTATCATCCTCAAACTATATTTATATGTTGTGTTATGTGACAGAAGGTAACAATGGATCGGAGTTGGATCAATTATAGACGAACAACAAATGAATATGAGAGTGGAGTAGAACAATTCATTGAATTTGCTAAGATGAATGTTCCGGATAATGATGGAAGATTCTATTGCCCTTGTGTTAACTGCTTGAATGAGCGAAGATTACCGACTGAAGTTATTCGGGAACATGTTCTTTGTGATGGTTTCCTAAAGAGTTACATAAAGTGGACATGGCATGGCGAATTATTAAACATGCCAAGTGTAGAAGACAAAGAAGAAGTTGATCTAGAGATGGATGATC